TCGCGAACGCTTGCCCAGCGTCGAGCGGCGTGACGTATCGCCAGCCTCGACCGCTTCGGCCGCCTCCACCGCCTCCACGGCGGCTTGCATGCGAGCGGGCGCCGCGTCATCGTCCTCGATATCCGCCTCGCTCTCTGCCTCTGGTGGGGCGGTTCGCGGTGCCGGAGCGTCGGGCAGCGGGGCGTTCGACTGGCCGGTGCCTGCGCCAAACACTTCGGCGTCTGCATCGCCGAGCAGCGCCGCCAGATCAAACGCCTCGCTGAAGCCACTGAGGATGGCCGAACTCTGCTCGAGCCTCGTCTCGGGCGCGCTCTCCTGCGCCGCGGCCTGGGTCGAGAGGATGGCGGAGCGGTGCAAGGCGGGTGGATAGGTGTAGTACTTGATGCGGCCGATGTTCCAGTCGTGCAGCACGCTGCGTGCGGTTCCGTCGATGTCGATCTTGCCTCCGCGTGCCATCCTGCCGCGCTGCACGGCGATGCGCATGAGCAGATCCTGTGCATCGCCCTCCTGGAACCACTCGAGCCCGTAGACTTGCATGAGGTGTTGGGCGTCCACACGCGCCATGATCGCCTCGACGGGCGTGATGGGGTCCTGCACCAGCTCCACCTTGACGACGTTGCGCAGCAGCGCCGACTGCCTGCGCATGTGCACCTCCTCGGGCGACAATCCGAGCGCCGCGGCGCCTGCACCCGACTCGTCGCTAAACACGATGCCGGGACAGTCGAGCAGCCGCACCGACTTGTCGAGCATCACGCTCTGCACCACCTTGGTGTGCCCCGGCGTCGAGGCGACGCTGCAGACGCGCGCGCGCTTGAGCGAGTTGATCAGGCTCGACTTGCCCACGTTGGGCGCCCCAAACACGCCCACGGCGATCGACGTCTTGAGGTTGAGGCTGCGCGAGTAGTTTTTGATGAGCTGCAGCACCGCGCCCGCACCCACCGCTTCGGAGCCGCTGCTGATGGCGTCGCTGCTCGAGGCCGCCGCGCTGGCCTTGGTGTAGTTGACCGCGCTGGCGCCCTGCGACAGATGCGTGCGCTGCGACTGCGTCGATGCCTTGAAGGCGAGCGTGGGAAAGTCGTGGCGCAGGTAGCGCAGCCATGCCTCGACGTTCGACTTGGGCACCAGGTCGATCTTGTTGAGGATGAGCACCACCTTCTTGCCTGCGCGCAGCAGCATGCGCTCCGTCTCGAGCGACCGGCATCCGAGCGGATCGCGCGCATCCACCACCTCGAGCAGCACGTCGGCATTGTCGACCACCTTGCGCAGCTCGCGCATGTACGCCTTGATCGACGAGTCCCTGCGCCCCGTCAGCGTGGGATCGAGCTGCAGCGCCGGGCTGTCCATCGCATCGATGCTGCCATCTTGAGGGTCGAGCGACGGATGCGCATCGGCATTGCTCATCGCAGCGGCCCCGGCGATCTCCTGACGCAGCCTGGCAGCCGCGCTTGGCTCAGCCCCGTCGCCACTGTGCGTGTCCGTGTCCGTGTCCATGGCGGTCGAAGCTCCGTTCTGTCCTCTCTGGTTGTATTGCTGCTGGAGCTGCTGGAGCTGCCTCGCCTTGCCCTTGTTGACGAGGCTGGCAAACTGGTTCTTGTTGAACGCAAAGCCGGCGTTGGTGGTCTGCTTGCCTACGCCTGGCGCGGCTGTCGACGCCGAGTGCGCCTTGGTGGCGGCGATCTTTGTCTTTTTGCGCGCATGGCGATCCTCCTTTCTCTGCTGTCGACCCATTGTATGTCGAGGATGATGGGGGAGGTAAAGTGAGGCAAAGTGATGATGAGCCTTTTGACACACCTCTTCTTCTTCTTCTTCTTCTTGCAGCTCCGAGCGGCTCAGCTTTAAAGCCCCAAAAAGGGTCCACCAAAAAAAAATCAATCAAAATTCACGCGGCTCTGCGAAAAAACGAGAAAAAAAGAGAAAGTGGGGTGGAGGTTGCTTGGTCATGATTACCAATCACATCGCCCCGACCCGAACAAGTCGCCGATGCCCGATGCATTGGTGGAGTGCGGAAGTGTGACTCGTTCTTCTTTACCTATACCACCACCACCACCATACATCAACAATCACCATGGCGGCATCCTCGTCCGCCGCATATCTGGCCGGGCCATTTCCGTCGGGGAGAGCCCTCACCGAGCACGATGTGACGCCCACGGTGCCGCCGACGCCGTCCGAGGAGCATGCGCCGCCCACGCATCTGTACGCCGACCTGCCGCCGCACCTCATGCAGCCGGACAACACGCCCGACTATCTGCGCCTCATCCTCAACGCCGACATCTACGACCTGGTCAAGCAGACGCCGCTCCAGCCGGGCGTCAACCTCTCGTCCAAGACAGGATGCAACGTGCTGCTCAAGCGCGAAGACCTGCAGCCCGTGTTCAGCTTCAAGCTGCGCGGCGCATTCAACATGATGCAGCAGCTCGACCCGGACCAAAAGTGGAAGGGCGTCATCGCCTGTTCCGCCGGCAACCATGCGCAGGGCGTCGCGATGGCCGGTGCGCATCTCTCCATCCCCTGCACCATCGTCATGCCCAAGGGCACGCCCGAGATCAAGACGGCCAACGTCAAGCGGCTCGGTGCCAAGGTGGTGCTCTTCGGTCAGGATTTCGACGAGGCAAAGGCAGAGTGCACGCGCCTCTCCCAGGCGCACGGCTTGACCATCATCCCGCCCTTTGACCATCCGCGCGTCATCGCAGGCCAAGGTACGATCGGCGTCGAGATCTGCCGCCAGACCGACATGTCGAATCTCGACGCCATCTTTTGCTGCGTCGGCGGGGGCGGTCTGCTCGCCGGCGTCGCCGCGTACATCAAGCGCATCGCACCGCCCC